GATAATACCGATGTTTAAACAAATGACAGATTATGAGGGTTTCAAACAACTGGAAGTCATCCGTATATCCGAGTTAACCAGAGCTACCGTTAGGTTTAACTATCCATTGGGCGCTAATATGTTGAAAATTTTAAATCTCAAAGAATTTATTAAAAGAACCAGACACAAAAATGAACTAATCATTAAAGATATCGTAGATTTCACTCAATGTTTGAATGGTTTTAATAACATATGCCTTAACGATCAATTAGCCCTGGTGAAGTATGGGTGCAATGAAATGCTATCTATTTGTACATTAAAATATTATGACCTAGATAATGATAATTATTGTGTACCTTTAGTAAGTATTGTAATATTTAAATAATTTACATAAATATATATAAATTTATTATAATTGTATAGTATAATTGTATAGTATAATTATATTCGTTTTTAAATATTTTAATTTTTAATTCAGGACAATAACACTACATTAGTGATTAGTCCTGATATATTTAGTTTGGATACGACACATTTTAACTTGTATAATGAATTTACACGTAATATATTGTGTGAATGGGATTACAACGACAACATCATGATGGACCTGGTATTATATTTTTAAAATATACAATATATTAATTCATTCCATAGTTATTTTATCCAGTAACTTTATTTTAAAAATTTTACAAGTTGACTGCGATCACCCTATTCAATCCTAATCGACCTAATATAGCCCACAGATATAATGTTAGGTATGTTATTTAAAACTACTATATAATTCAAGGTTAATTTAAGTGACAAATAATTTAATTACTAAATTTATTATATCTAGACTCGAGCAGCAATTGTACATTTATTTACTACAAAGATATTTGTTGTTCAAATATGGATCGGAATCGGAGTCAAAGCTACAAAAACTTATGTTTTCATTACAAATGCTGCATATGTTAAGTAACTTTGAGTTGTCTGTGGTTATGAAAAATTTCAAACCGTTTGCCCATTATATGGGACCTATTATGAGGGAGATTTATCCTGTTGATAACAATTAATGTTTAGTTTATATTGACTGTATAATAGCTTAATAATGAATATTAAAATTACTGGCTTTATTTATACATGTGTTATAATTAATTAATAAAATTACATGTATATTTTTAAGTCTTAATACAGTATACCAGGAATTAAGGAAATATTTAAAAAATAGAGTAGATACAAGTAATTTTAGTACTGTATCATGGAATAAAACTACTTATATCTAGAATTTAGATTCAAGAATTTAGATCATTCAAAGTTGTTAGTTTAGTTTACTACAAGTTAATATAAGTACAGTAATGTATTACTATATTTTATTAGCAGTTTTCTAAAAAAACTTATTAATATCATTTGATTTATGAAAGAAAATATGTTTACATTGTAAACTTTAAAACAACCTGAATAAAGTTTGCGTAGTTTGTGGCGTTAAATGGACAGTTACTTATATTCAATAAACCACTCCTATATACGGTAATTGATAAAATGACATTATCTCAAAGTGTGTTTAATATTATTAAGAACTATCAGTAAACATTTTATTAATTAATATATTGGTACTATAAATTAATCTATATAGTTTTATGTGACCATTTGAATAATTAAATAAAATATATTTAATTTTATAAATATTACGATAATATTATTAATATGAGTTGTGAGAAATTAACTAAAATATGCGAAGTGTGTGGCGTTAAAGGGATTGGTATTTAATTATTTGTATTAATTGTAGAAACAGTCAGATTAAGTAACTATTGTTTATCTAGGTAAAAACTTTTCTGTAATTACGTGCGAGTCGTGTAAAGCCTTTTTTAGACGGTATGCCCTCAGAAATAAAGTAAGCATATAATTAATGTTAATATGATTTAAATTTTATTTTAAATTTTTACAAATAAACAAATTAATTTATATGATTAGCCATTAATCTGTGCATCCGGTGGTAAATGTGTTATAAATTCAGTGACCAGAAAAATATGCCAAAAGTGTAGACTTACTAAATGTTTTGCAGTCGGAATGAAAAAAGTAATGTTTATAATCATATTTATAAATGTTTTTTATTTTTGAATTTAATAAATGTTTATTTATAGGAATTGATAAGAGATTTTAATGAAAATGAACAGAGAAAGAAATTGATCAAGCTAAATAAATTAAAATTACTACAAAACATTGAATGTAGCAAATCATCCACAAGTGGTTCGCCCAACAGTTTAATATCGGATGAAAACATAGTAAAAGACACTTTCGATGAGTTGTTAGAAAATGCATTCAATATTAGTGATGAAGAGCTCAATAAACAGATAAAAGAAATTGAAAATTGTGTCAAAACTGATGAAATGAAAAGTGAAAACAAAGCGCAAGAATTAGCGATAATACCGATGTTTAAACAAATGACAGATTATGAGGGTTTCAAACAACTGGAAGTCATCCGTATATCCGAGTTAACCAGAGCTACCGTTAGGTTTAACTATCCATTGGGCGCTAATATGTTGAAATTGATAAATCTCGAAGAATTTATTAAAAGAGGCAGGCACAAAGCTGAGAGTATCATAAAAGACATCGTAGATTTCACTCAATGTTTGAATGGTTTTAATAACATTTGCTTTAACGATCAATTAGCCCTGGTAAAATATGGGTGCAGTGAAATGCTATCTATTTGTACATTTAAATATTATGACCTAGATAATGATCATTTTTGTGTACCTATAGTAAGTATTGTAATATTTAAATAATTTAAATGCTTGTATATTTGTATATACAGTATATACAATTATATTCTTTTTTAAATATTTTAATTCAGGACAATAACACTACTTTAGTGGCTAGTGCTGATATATTTAATTTTGATACGGCACATTTTAACTTGTTGAATGAATTTACGAGAAAAATATTGTGTGAATGGGATTACAACGACAACATCATGATGGACCTGGTATTATATTATAAAACTATACAATATATTAATTTATTCCACAGTTATTTTATCCAGTAACTTTATTTTAAATATTTTACAAGTTGACCGCGATCACTCTATTCAATCCGAATCGACCTAATATAGCCCACAGACATAATGTTAGGTATATTATTTAAAACTACTATATAATTCAAGATTAATTTAAGTGACAAATAATAACTAAATTTATTATAACTAGACTCGAGCAGCAATTGTACATTTATTTACTACAAAGATATTTGTTGTTCAAATATGGATCGGAATCGGAGTCAAAGCTACAAAAACTTATGTTTTCATTACAAGTGCTGCAAATGTTAAGTAACTTTGAGTTGTCTATGGTTATGAAGATTTACAAACCGTTTACCCATTATATGGGACCTCTTATGAGAGAGATTTATCCTGTTGATAATAATTAATGTTTAGTTATATATTGATTGTATAATAACTGAATAATAAATATGAATTTTTATGGCTTTATTTATACATATAATTATAATTAAATAATAAAGTTACGTGTATATTTTTAAATCTTAAAATTTAATACAAAAATAATTGGATTTATGAAATAAAATATGGTTTACATTGTAAACTATTAGCCAACCTAAATAAAGTTTGCGTAGTTTGTGGCGTTAAATGGACAGTTACTTAATTATATTCAATAAACTACTCCTATAATTCTTATTATAGATTAAATGACATTATCTCAAAGTGTGTTTAATATTACAATATTAGGAATTCTCAGTAAACATGTTATTAATTGACATATTGATACTAAAAATTAATTTATTTCCTTTTATGTGACCATTTGATTAATTAAATGAAATATATTTAATTTTATAAATATTACGATAATATTATTAATATGAGTTGTGAGAAATTAACTAAAATATATATTGATACTAAAAATTAATTTATTTCCTTTTATGTGACCATTTGATTAATTAAATGAAATATATTTAATTTTATAAATATTACGATAATATTATTAATATGAGTTGTGAGAAATTAACTAAAATATGCAAAGTGTGTGGCGCTAAAGGGATTGGTATTTAATTATTTTTTATTTAATTGTAGAAACAATCGATTAAGTAACTATTTTATATCTAGGTAAAAACTTTACTGTAATTACGTGCGAGTCGTGTAAATCCTTTTTTAGACGTTATGCCCTCAGAAATAAAGTAAGCATATAATTAATGTTAATATGATTTTAGTTTTATGTTGAATTTTTAATAATAAACAAATTAATTTATATGAATAGCCATTAAACTGTCCATCCGGTGGTAAATGTGTAATAAATTCAGTGACCAGAAAAATATGCCAAAAGTGTAGACTTACTAAATGTTTTGCAGTCGGGATGAAAAAAGTAATGTTTATACAATTTTTCAATATAATTTATGCGTTTAATAAATGTTTATTTACAGGAATTAATAAGAGATTCCAATGATAATGAGCAGGGAAAGCAATTAACCAGGCTAAATAATTTACAATTACATCAATGCAATGAATATAGCAATTCA